AAGGGTTCGAACCCCCCAGCCGTATGTTCTTGCCCTTTTTTTTATATTAATGTACCCAGCTCCTGAAACACGCGGGCCGCTTTGGGCCCGAACTCAGCCCACGCGAAGCCCGATTTCTCCCGATGCAGCCACGGCCCGCGAGCCCGCACCCAGCCCAGCGAGGCCTGTGTCATCCCAGTTTTGGCAGGCTTGATTTTCGGCCCAAATCGCGTTCATCTTTGGCCCAGTTCGCATTTCTGAGGCCCAAATGTGGAGCAGCCTTCTGTTTTATGTTCCCAGCGGCCCAATTTGACCTCTTTAGCCCATTTTTGAGTTCCGGAGCCCGTTTTTCGTACCGTTTTAAATTCTAAAAATATTCTCGATATAATAAAATTTTGGGAAAAATTATTTTATGTTCCGAGACTCAAATTTTGGTCTTCCGAGTCATATTTTTCAAAAATGAGAGAGTTCCAAGTCCACGAAAAATCCGATTAAAACCCTTAAGTCTTAATTTTTATTAAGTATGGGTTTTATGTTAAATTTGAGTAGTGAAATAAATTATTGATAAATTATCTCGCTTAAATGTAGGTGTTTGAGGAGTCGAGCCTCATCCTACGTACTTGCTCTTGTGTGCAATTTTCTACTGAGCTATCCAGGTGGGTTTTAATCTAAAATTTGCTACGCCGTATGTGTTAGTTTGATGTTGAGTTGGTATGATTTAAGTATGTATGTGAACCATGTAGCCTATCAGCGTGAGCCGATTTCGGCCGTCGGTTGTCCCCGTCGATGTAATACTGTTACCTTGCGAGGTAAGTCTCCGTAAGACCTAATGAAATGCCGTGTCTTGTCGTATGGCACGTACCCCCATGAGTTAGGGTAATGAATCCCCTTTCCTTGGCTACTGAAAGATGTGTACACGTGGGTAATATGTTGTGATGTAATTAGGAGACGTGACAGAATAATTAATTTATGTTCATACTTTAACCATACCCCCTTTACATTATTATTGATGATATATGTGCATAGTGGTGAGCATGCTTTTTCATCTTGTGCTCATCCCCACCTGCTCTTCACGAATGCAGGTTAAGCAGGTGCAGGGTGACGAGGAGAGGCGAGTGGGTCGGTCATTTCATTATGCATTTTATGCTTCCGTAGAATAATAAGGCTTTTGTGGACCTTTATGTGGAGACTTGTTTAGACCTTTTTCCAAAACTTATAACTTGTTTGTTTTTGGGAAACTTGTGGAACCCTTGATGTTGGGTATGATGTTTTGGTTTAAATATTCGTGTTGAGAATTAAGTCTCGTGATGTGTTTTGGTTAATGAAAACCATTTGCGAAAATCGGGTAATGAATCCCCGTGGGCCCAGATAAGACTTGGGTTATGAAAATGTTGTTTAACACCCATTAACTTTTCGAAAATGATTTTGAAAATTTTATACTGATTTTTGGAAAGTCCGAAATTTCTGTAAAATCAAAGTGGGGTGTTACAAATAACCTTATTTAATGAAGATAAAGATGAATGTTTTGAGAAAAAATAAAGAGTGAATATGAAAAGATGTAATGATGGAAAAATATGTACAAAATAACCTTATTAGCTAAATGAGGGTAATAATGGAAAAATATGTACAAAATATCCAAAACGACATTTATTTAGTTAATAGTTGATAAAACTAGAATGACATTTAAAAAAATAGGATGGAGTATAATAAAACACTAGCTAATAAACTCGTCACTATTGCCACCTCAAATTCCAAACCCAACGATTTACGCCTTGTTTATGTTGCCTCAAATTTTAGAACACATGGCCTCTATGGACGGAGGACATCTGTCGCTACTTCATCCCAGAATGACCATACTATATTATATACTAGATGGGTTTACGCCGTGCACGCAAGGCGGTCTAACCCCCAGTGTAAAACTACTGCGAATTCGAGACACTACGCGACAAGCTTGGCATTATCCAAATGAGCATTAAGAGGGAGTGTTAAGTGTAATGCTCATTAACTAAATAAAATATATGTACTACAAGATTATTCTAGAATTACTATTAGTATAATTAATAAACAATTGAAATTATTTGTTGGTTGTTGAACTACCTACCATAATTATCACCGACCTATGAACTATGATGTGTATATATATATGTAATGAAGCTCAGAAAGTTGATGTAGAAAAAAAATAAGAACTCAAGAAAACCAATTCTCTTCCACTATAATTTGTTTCCCTATATTATTACATTTCTTCTCATATAATTAAACGTTAATATTTATTGAATAAATATTGTTAGTTTTGATATCGCCGTGTGCACTTTTAATGTCTAAAGATGCAGTACAGATAGGTTACCAAATATGGATCTACAAACAGAGTTAATTATGCCATGATAGCAACTAGAATCAAGTAATGCCAAAAATGTTCGAAGTTCAAACCGGCATATAGTAACGGTTCAGAAAGACATATGCTCCTTAAAAACCAAGCCCGTAATGATCATCGCAATCTTTTTAAATAGATAATCAAAGCAAGGTAAGAAACAAAAAATAAAGAGCACTTTAGAAGATTAAAATGCCTGCTCAACCGCAAATTTTTGTTAGCCTATGGTTCATTAGTTAAGCATCTAGATGTCAGAAAGTTACCGTAGTTTCTCATAGATGTTTTTCATGTCCTAGATCATTCGAGCTAAAAGAAAAAAAAAATGCTCTAAGCATTGAACGCAAACCAGCTGTAACAAACTAAACCCAAACCAATATTAATTAAAAAAAAAAATCACCTTTTTCTCCTCAGGTAAAGGCGCCAGAGGTTGCTTCTTCTCGGCAGCCGTCGCGGGGGGATATCGAGCTAAAGTGACGCCGCTTCTTGTCAGCCTCACCTGGTGATGTTGCCGTCGGAGTCGCCGATGTAGAAGTCTTTGCCGGCGAGTTTGACAAAAAATCGGTGAGGAGGAAATGAAATCTGAGGGGAGAGGAGAACTCCACGGGGTGAGGGTGCAAGGTTCAGAGAAGTATGAACAATATTCTTTCTTCAATCTTTTTATGTCGGTCGCGTGTGTGGAAAAACGGGAAAAGTAGCTGTCATGTACAAATCAAATGACCATAACGTTGAAAGCCGGTGTAAATATAATCATTTGATATTAGCAAATTCACTTATTGAAAATCTCATTTACTGGTAATCTAGAGCAAAACTTTACTGAAATATGACCTTGATTTTTGCGAGCATCAGCTTGAACCGGTCGAAGTCATTGAGGGTGGCCCTTCCCTTTTGAACAATGAGTTTCCTACCCCAAGAGCTCTTTTCCCATTTTCCCTTGACATCTGCAAAAAACATCATAAAGAAATTAAGCAATCTTCACTATAGACGAATTCAAAAGGTAGAGTAAGTTTTTCTATTTCCAAAGTGAAATACATACCAGCAGCTCCCGTAGCAGCTATCAGAGTCTTCTTCTTCGGGATCCTTTTGATATCAATCTTGATATTCGTAAGAGAAAGCCTCTTGAAGTTCATCTGGCTTCTTACCATGGCTTCTTACCATATCAGGGGCATCTACAAGAGCCTAAAGCAAGGCAAACAAATTATTGAACAAAAACTATCATAACAAATCAAACGAACCACCATAAACATTACAGAAGTTCAAACACACGGTATATCTACAACTGCATGAGCAAGGGCCTCCAACTTACATATAGCAGAAGCACCAAATGTCTTAATCGCGTCAACATTGAAAACGGGGCAATGATATATTGCAAATGCAAACTCATAATCAATGAACGATCTGCATAGGTAATAATTTACACTCTGAATTCTACTCATTTGCAGCATTCAATACCAACAAATGCAAATGTATCTCACATAATCAGACTACTGTAAAGATCCACCCCAGTACAATGTTTCAAAAGCCAAGGGAAACAAAAAAAAAACCCACTGGGAGAACAAACAGTAACCAATTTATAGCTTTAATCAAGAGCGTGAAACATAAACTTAGTCCAAATTAAGGACAAATCTAAACCAAGGGAGCTAAAGAAGACATTCAATCAGCATAGCTACGATAACACATATAGAAAACAAATTCTATCTCTTATCCTGAGCATGAAACATAAGAGAATTCCAAAATTAAGCACAAATCTCGACCAAAGGAGCCAAAAGAAGACAATCAATCAGCAAAATACGAAAATCAGCTCGTCACACTGAATACCTGAAATCCATGGTAGTGATGTAGGCTCACTCCTCGAATGGGAAGCGAAAAACTCGAAGGGCTAGTTTTTCTCTTAATATACTTCATACTCTTACTCTCTACTGAGAAGTT